TGGTGCAAACATCTCGGAGTTGGAATATACGCTTTGATAAGTTGACCAAAGCATATAGTTTTATACAGACTTGCGGTGAAGCCTGTATTTACAAGAAAGTGAGTGGGAGTACTACATCATTTCTGATAAGTATATGTGAATGACATATTGTTGATCAGAGATAATGTAGAATTATTCTGCAAAGCATAAAGGAGTGTTTGAAAGGAGTTTTTCAAAGAAAGACCTCAGTGAAGCTGCTTACATATTGAGCATCAAGATCTATAGAGATAGATCAAGACGCTTGATAAGTTTTTCAATGAGTACATACCTTGATAAGATTTTGAAGTGGTTCAAAATGGAACAGTCAAAGAAAAAGTACTTGCCTGTGTTACAAGGTGTGAAACTGAGTAAGACTCAAAGCCCGACCACGGCAGAAGATAGAAAAAGAATGAAAGTCATTCCCTATGCCTTGGCCATAGGTTCTATAAAATATGCCATGCTGTGTACCAGATCTATTGTATACCCTACACTGAGTTTGGCAAGGGAGTACAATAGTGATCTAGGAGTAGATCACTGGACATTGGTCAAAATTATCCTTAGTAGAATAAGGATATGTTTCTCGATTATGGAGGTGACAAAAAGGTTCGTCGTAAAAGGTTACGTCGATGCAAGTTTTGACACTGATCCAGATGACTCAAAGTCTCAATCTGGATACATATTGAAAGTGGGAGCAATTAGCTAGAGTAGCTCCGTGCAGAGCATTGTTGACATAGAAATTTGCAAAATACATACGGATCTAAATGTGGCAGGCCCGTTGACTAAACTTCCCTCATAAGCAAAACATGATCACACCTTAGTACTCTTTGGGTATTAATCACATAGCGATGTGAACTAGATTATTGACTCTAGTAAACCCTTTGGGTGTTGGTCACATGACGATGTGAACTATGGGTGTTAATCACATGGTGATGTGAACTATTGGTATTAAATCACATGGCGATGTGAACTAGATTATTGACTCTAGTGCAAGTGGGAGACTGAAGGAAATATGCCCTAGAGGAAATAATAAAGTTATTATTTATTTCCTTATATCATGATAAATGTTATTATTCATGCTAGAATTGTATTGACCGGAAACATAATACATGTGTGAATACATAGACAAACAGAGTGTCACTAGTATGCGTCTACTTGACTAGCTCGTTGATCAAAGATGGTTATGTTTCCTAACCATAGACATGAGTTGTCATTTGATTAACGGGATCACATCATTAGGAGAATGATGTGATTGACTTGACCCATTCTGTTAGCTTAGCACTTGATCGTTTAGTTTGTTGCTATTGCTTTCTTCATGACTTATACATGTTCCTATGACTATGAGATTATGCAACTCCCGTTTACCAGAGGAACACTTTGTGTGCCACCAAACGTCACAACGTAACTGGGTGATTATAAAGGTGCTCTATAGGTGTCTCCGAAGGTACTTGTTGGGTTGGCGTATTTCGAGATTAGGATTTGTCACTCCGATTGTCGGAGAGGTATCTCTGGGCCCACTCGGTAATGCACATCACTATAAGCCTTGCAAGCACTGCAACTAATGAGTTACTTGTGGGATGATGTATTACGGAACGAGTAAAGAGACTTGCCGGTAACGAGATTGAACTAGGTATTGAGATACCGATGATCGAATCTCGGGCAAGTAACATATCGATGACAAAGGGAACAACGTATGTTGTTATGCGGTTTGACCGATAAAGATCTTCGTAGAATATGTAGGAACCAATATGAGCATCCAGGTTCCGCTATTGGTTATTGACCGGAGACATGTCTCGGTCATGTCTACATAGTTCTCGAACCCGTAGGGTCCGCACGCTTAAAGTTTCGGTGAGGATTTGTATTATGAGTTATGTGATTTGATGTACCGAAGGTAGTTCGGAGTCCTGGATGAGATCGGGGACATTACGAGGAGTCTCGAAATGGTCGAGACGTAAAGATCGATATATTGGACGACTATATTCGGACATCGGAAAGGTTCTGAGTGATTCGGGTATTTTTCGGAGTACCATGGAGTTACGGGAATACGGGGAAGTAGTATTGGGCCTTAATGGGCCTTAGTGGGAAGGAGAGGCAGCAGCCAGGAGGTGGCGTGCGCCCCTCCCAAGCCCAGTCCGAATTGGACAAGGGGTTTGGGGCGCGGCCCCCCTCTCCCTTCCTTCTCCACTCCCCTCCTTTCCCCCCTTCTCCTAGTTGGATTAGGAAAGGAGGAAACCTACTCCTACTAGGAGTAGGAATCCTACTCCCTTGGTGTGCACCTCCTAGGGCCGGCCTCCTCCTCCCTTGCTCCTTTATATACGAGGGCAGGGGGGCACCCCAAGACACACAAGTTGATCTGTTGATCTCTCTCAGCCGTGTGCGGTGCCCCCCTCCACCATAATCCACCTCGATCATATCGTAGCGGTTCTTAGGCGAAGCCCTACATAGGTAGCATCATCATCACCGTCATCACGCCGTCGTGCTGACGGAACTCTCCCTCGAAGCTCTGCTAGATCGGAGTTTGTGGGACGTCATCGAGCTGAATGTGTGCTGAACTCGGAGGTGCTGTACGTTCGGTACTTGGATCGGTCGGATCGTGAAGACGTATGACTACATCAACCGCGTTGTGCTAACGCTTCCGCTTTCGGTCTATGAGGGTACGTGGACACACTCTCCCCTCTCGTTGCTATGCATCACCCTGATCTTGCGTGTGCGAAGAAATTTTTTTGAAATTACTACGTTCTCCAGTTCCTTTTTATGCTAGAAGTACCACCAGCGAGCGAGGCAGATCTCATGGGCGGAGTGGTAGGACTCAAGCAGCGCTGCCTGCTCCGCTAGGTTCGTGTCCGGCGCGATGGCCCTAGCGGCGATGAGCTTCTCCTCCGGTTGCTGGTGCTCTTGGAGGAGCTAAGGGTCGTAGGCGGCGTCGGCCCGCGCCTCCCGAAACTGCTCCTCCCGCTCATCCCGCACCATGTCCATGTAGTGGGCCCATGCCTCGACGATGGTGGCGTCGACGAGGGGCCACCGCCCATGTTCTTCATTAGAATCGTCCTTCGGCTGTCTACCGAGCAGCCAGCCGGCAGCTCCTTCTGCTTCGCCGTTAGCCCGTCCAAGAGAGCATTGGAGCGCAACGAAGCAATGGTGGGAGTGGTGCAGAGAGGAGAAAGGGATCAGAGGCGGATGACAGCGGCTATGACCGACGCATTAGTTTGTATAGCAATCGTGGGCGACAGAGGGACGAACAGGTGGTGTCGGAGTAGCCGCCTCGACAACTGCGTGTCATTAATGTGGGCGATAGATGGACGGACAGATGGCCTTCATGTCGTTTGAACATGGAACAGTTGCCTGCACTGGGAAGAGGCGCAAATGGCGCTGTCTCGGCCGGCATGCCGCCTTGATGCCGACGTTAGTGAGAGGTTGTGTCTGCTCTGGCCGGGCACGAATGCGACACTGACGCTCTGCAGCGGCGCTGGCCGTTCTCGATGGGAAGCGCGTGCGGTCAGGGAGGGGATTTGGGTGGGCCAGGGCGGTCAGACGTGGGCGTGGCAGCGGTCCGGACGCCCGCAAGGCCCCCCTCCCCCCCCCCCACACGTTTGTCTCTGTTTTGCGGGAGAGAACACGGGTGGACCGCTCTACAGACAGTTACAGGCCTGTGTTGGATAGCAGAACACATTCGGACAACGCGGTCCGGACGTATGCAGACGTTTTGAGGATCGGTGTTGGAGATGTCCTTACGAAAAAAATTTGATGCACCTTGTATACAAACTGAACACTTTGAGACAAAGTATCAGGGTTACGAACAGAAGCCTAGGACTTCATAGAGAACTCATTTTTTTACAACATTTCGCATTCAAACTTTTTCTATTTTTATTATACATAGTGAAAAGTCTCATGATCAAATTTGGGGCTATTCTGGGTTGATTTGCTATTCTTAAAGCATTAATTGATTTTCTGACCATTAAAAAGAAAAAACACTCGGTTCAAAATAACATGCAGTCGATTTTAGAAAAGGATGAAACTTGGCATGATGTCATTATATGACCCTGATAGGATGTGGTAAAAATTTGAAATTATTACAAGAAAAACCGAATGCACTTCGTGTACAAACCGAACACTCTCAGACGAAGTATCAGGGTTTCAAACAGTTGGTGTGGAATTGATATAGAACACAATTTCTTTTACATTTTACTCTTCAAACTTTTTTATATTTAACACACACCACTCAAAGTCAAAGGAGACTTTCTACATAAATAATTAGTCACAAAATGCACACATGCTTCCTTTTCCCACCTTCTACAAATCTTAAAAGACTTTCCGCGGAATGGCTAGTAGTATTCTAAACCAAAAGCGTTGCTTGTTGAAGACTTCCCGTGTATACAAATAGAAGCAAAACGTCTCTCATTGTATAAAGAAAATAAAGACATGGGAGAAGGATAGAAGAAATGTAAGGATTACACGTTGTGGCTGATCCGGTCTTAATTTATCGGCCCATTCCTGGCAAGTGGCAACTACATACAAAGTCGTCCACATATCACATTGAATAAGGAAAATTAAACCTTTTCCGACCCAAATCATCAGATATAATAAGGTCTTATATTGTGGAACGGCTGGAGTACAGCACAATATTTCATGCGGAGGACTTCTTCTCTTAGATCAGAACGACATCTTCCAATTTGTTGGCGCTAATCATATACAGTAGTAAAATAATATGAGCAGCCTCGTGCAGCAATGGAAAGCTGCGGTAGGCCATAGGCGACGTACGGCAGCGCTAATACTCAAGTTGACAACGGCATGTGGAACATGTCAAACACGCGTCCATGAAATCCTACCAAGAAGTTCAACATCAAGCAAAATGGAGAGACTATATATAGCTTCCATACCGTTCTGGTTTTCCTCACATCCATCGCTGCGATATTCCTTCATTCCCTTCTAGTAGCTAGCTTGCAAATTAATTCTAGCTTTCTCCTTCTGAACGTGCAGTGGTGCACATGGCGGCTTCCTCTCGCTTCCCGTTAGCTGCTCGCTGCAGCCTCTTGCTCACGGCAGCGCTGGTCCTAGCGCTGAGCCTTGGAGCCCACGGTCATGCAGGTGCCGATGCCGGTGCCGGGTTAAGCTCGTCCTTCTACGACGACTCGTGCCCCGGTGCGGGCGACATTGTCCGGCGCGTCATCCAGATAGCCCGCGTCGCCGACGCGCGCATCCCGGCCAGCCTCATCCGCCTTCACTTCCACGATTGCTTTGTTCAGGGCTGTGACGGCTCGCTTTTGTTGGACAACGACCTCCCGGCGATCATGACCGAGAAGGAGGTCCCTCCCAACGACAGGTCAGCGCGCGGGTTCAAGGTGGTCGACGACATCAAGCGTGCCCTGGAGAACGCATGCCCCGGCATCGTGTCTTGCGCCGACATCCTTGCCCTCGCCTCCGAGATTTCCGTCGAGCTGGCTGGAGGGCCGCGCTGGAGTGTGCCGCTGGGCCGCCGTGATGGCACGACCATCAACATCGAGAGCGCCAACAATCTCCCGAGCCCCTTCGACTCTCTGGAGACGCTCCAGGAGAAGTTCAAAAACTTGGGCCTCGACGACACTGACCTTGTCGCCCTCCAAGGAGCACACACCTTTGGGCGGGCGCAATGCCAGTTCACGCAGCGGAACTGCAGCGCCGGGCAGGACGACGAGACGCTCGTGAGTCTCGACACAGTCACCCCTGACGTCTTCGACAACAAGTATTACGGCAACCTCTTGCGTGGCCGCGCCCCTCTCCCTTCCGACCAGGTAATGTTGTCTGATCCCGTTGCCGCCGCGACCACCGCACGGATCGTTCGCAGGTTCTCCGGAAGCCAGAAGGACTTCTTCAAGAATTTCGCGGCCTCGATGGTCAAAATGGGGAACATAAGCCCGTTGACCGGAAGGGCCGGGCAGATTAGGAACAACTGTAGGAGGGTGAACAGAAAACCCTATTGACGAATGAGATTGATGTTATGAGTTGTGAACTCGTTGTCTTTGTGTAAATCATTCTTTTAATTCATTCCAACTATAAAGTGTTCCCTTATTATTTTGTTTTGGATACAAATGTAAATGTTCAGTATGTGATTTTCGCAAACCAATATTTGTATATCAAATGACTTGTCTTCGATAAACATATTCATATCGCTTTACCACTGCTACAAAATGACATGTCATGGGACTATATATCTATGTATTTTGAATTTATGACATTGCCTTATCAAAATTTTTATGGTTTTATATCTACTAGCAAAAGAGCCCGTGCGTTGCAACGGAAGGGAAAACATAACACACGCTCTTAACTCAACAACCATCACTTAATACCATAATAGGTCCATCTCCTTTATTTTTGCGAGGCATCATACTTATGTTGCCGCTTATCCTCCTTCTCACCCTCGCCGGCGATGCCCTCGATGTTCACACAAAATAACAAAAAACATGTGTTGAATATGGTTAATCCTAAGGCGTCTCTCTCTCCCTCTCTCCTCCCTCTCCCTCTCTCTCTCCCTCTCTCTCTCTCTCTCTCTCTCTCTCTCTCTCTCTCTCTCTCGCTCGCTTTCTCTCACTCTCGCGATGAGAAATCTGTTGTTTTCCCCTGCGACATTTTTCAGAGGTATGCATTTGTAGTTATCGATGTTTTTTTCCGTATATGGTTATAGTGGGGTGTTTATTTGCAGTCCGGATCGCCGCCGGTATGAAAAAAAATCCGAATCTTGTGCTATAAATTATAAGTTTGCTTCCATAACAATATTTTAAAGATATTTAAAAGGTAAAATTAACATCATATTTAGATTGCACATATTTTTCTAATAAAATTTCATATATAATATGTTAAAATCGAAGTTACAGTTAGAAAATCATTTGGTTTGACTCAAATATATTCTGAAATGATATTTAAAAATACTTAACAGGTAAAAATAATCTCATATTCATATTCTACATATTTTTCTAATCAAATTTCATATATAACATGTTTAAATCGGAGTAACGGTTTAAAAGATATGGATGATTTTAAAAAGCATTTGTTTGACTTAAATATGATCCGCGGATGAATTACCTAAAACATCAGGGGGGGTTTCAAAAAATGTAAAATAACGGTTCGGGTATGACTTAAATCCGGATGGCGGGTTGATTTTAAGAAAAGATAGGGACTTTTGTGTAAAATACGAAAATAACGATTCGTATTAACTTAAAACAGGACTGCGGGTTGAATTCTCTGAAATAGAGAGACTTTTCTAAAAAATGCCATGGCGGACGAAATAAACCCAAATTCTTTATTATTAGGTAAAGATTTGGAATAACCTATTAACAAATTGACAGGAAGGAGGCAAGTTTTTGTGTCTCCGATTTCAAGATTTTTCGGATTCTGAAAAATAAAAGAAAATTACAGTAATGAATAACGTTGGAGACAACACAACTGCCAAAGTAGGACCCTAGAGGAGCCACGTTGGCCCACACCCCCTCCTTTTGGCCCGTGGTGTGTGTGCATGTGCCCATGCACCGCCTCCCTACCATCCTTCTAAATGTGTAGTAGTCCTTCAGGATTTTCCGGACTCTAAAAAATAAAAGAAAAATACATTAATGAATAACATTGGAGACAACACACCAGCCAAAGGAGGGCTAGAGGGGAGCCACGTGGGCCCACATCCCCTCCTTCTTGCCTGTGGGGTGTGTGCATGGGCCTGTGCACCGCCTCCCTACCCTCGTTTTCAATGTGTAGTAGTGCACATGGCCGCTTCCTCTTGTGTTGTTAGCTTCTCATGACAACATCCTGCTCATGGCAACACTAGTCCTAGCGTCGTGTCACGGAACTCATAGTCATGGCATTGTCCATGCCGACTTGAGCTCATCCTTCTATGATGACTAGTGCCCTAGCATGCATGACATTGTCGATGCATTATCCAGAACGCTCGCCTTGTCGACATGCGAATCATATGTCTCGACTTCCATGAATACTTTGACAAGGGCTTTGATGGCTCGCATTGGTTGGTCAAAGACCTCTTGATGATCAAAATTGAAAAGCAGGTCCATGCATTCCCTTGGCATTGAGGTGGCCGATATCACCAAATGCACGCTAGAGAATGCATTCCCCTGGCATTGTGTCTTGCGCCAACATCCAAGCCGTGGTCACCCCGGTCTCCGTTGAGCTGGCTCAAGGACTCTCTGGAGACGCCATAGGAGTAGTTCAGAAACTTGGACCCCAATGACACTAACCTCGTCGCCCTCCAAGGAACCCACACCATTGGGTGGGTGCAGTCCCGGCTCACTCAGCGGAACTGCGGCGGCATGTAGGGCAAACAATGTCGGTGAACCTTGACACAACATCTTTGGCATCAAGTACTATGACAAACTCTTGTGCGGCCGCGCCCCATTCCCTCTGGACCGATAATGCCATCTAACCTCACTGTTGCGGTGACCCTCACACCAATTGTTCACATGTTCCCCAATAGCGACAATGACTTCTTCAAGAATTCCGCTACCTCGATGATTGAAATGGGGAACATAAGCCCTCTGACAGGAAGAGGTTGGGAGATTAGAACCAACTATTGGAGGGTGGGTATAAAACCCTATTGATAAACGAGATTGCTATTACGACTTGTGAACTCATGATGCTTGTGTAAATCATTGTTTTGATTCATATTCTATATCTAAGTAGCTAGCCCCCTAGTCGTAAAAAGATAGCTAGCCCCCGCTAACCTACTGCATGTATATGTGTGTTTTTTGATACACATATTCACTATGCTTTGAAACCATTCAGTTTATTGTCGACGCATTGGAGAGTGTGCAAAAGGGATATGGTGGCTTGCCACTACATTTAACAGGCATAGTGTAGAAGGTAGGGGGTGGGCGTGTTTGATAAGTAGAGTGTCGAACACAAAACAAATCACTCAAAAAGCCAAAGTGACAATTGTGTGGTTGGATGGTTGTAAATATATAAAGAAGAATCAAATGAAAGTAAATGAGTGCAACAAGTGACTCAATAAGTATTTGCATTGATTTTTTTATTGCTTGATTTTTCTCATGTGGATAGAGCCTAAGCTTATATGTTGTAAAGACATTGGCTCACATATACATGGGATTAAAGCCTTAGCATGCATCCATAAATACTAAGAATAATTACAACAAATTATAATCATTTCCTTAAGATATGGGGTTTGTATTTAACTCTCATGCTATAATCTAGTATAATAAGTTGACACTTGACTTATTATAATCAGTTGTTGAATGATGCACCCAAGAATAATTTCTGAAGATGACGGACAAAAAGTCACCCACAAGATTATAGTATCGAGGCCCCCACAAAAAACAATTACAAAGTCAGAACCTTGAACATGGGCATGAGCAACAAAGAGAATGGCATTTTCAAGGATTTGTGGAGGAAACTTCCTCGTTGATGTTAGTTATATATCACCCATCATGGGCGATGTGATCTAGGGGAAGAAACCAAATCCACGAGACAAGTGTCCCGACATGTACTGAGAATCGACTCAACACCACCGGCTAATACTGGAGACACGACTATCTACTGTTCGTAGATGAACATGAGAAGAGGCACCCAAAGCAAACAACAACAAACGAACATGTAATTGAACAACTAAGGGGTTAATTCTTTTAACACACCAATTAATTGAGCAACTATATATTGCCTATTCCTCCAACTCAAGATGTCCCACACCCTTCTTTCACTCTAAACATGTCCCACACCCTTCCTTCACTCAATGCTCTCCTTACACATGCGCAATACCCCCAAGTTATGCTCCCTTCTTATCTTTACAGTTCCTAGCTCCCTTTGATACAACATCATGAAACAAACACAGATATCAACTCCTTATATACATGGCCCCGCCATCATCCAAGATAGATCAGTGCTATTTCCAAACACACATTAATCAACTAATCGACTAGTTAAAAAGTTTGAAGGTCAACTACATCTCTTATGATCAAAATGTAGTGCCCTAGACACATATTAATAAGATTTCAAATGGTCACCCTCGCTATTCTTCTAACATTTTGAGTTTTTGTTTGTTTGGACAAAAAGTACATGATACCTTCAAGATTGTGTGGAAGAATTCTAATCCGTGTGGCACTCTCACATCAGGATGGCTTGAATGACATAACATGTACCATTGCGGTAGAGAACATGTATTCTTTGTTGAACAATAACTCTTTTCACCGCGGCCTGCACGCTAGGAAATCTTTTTTCATTGAGTGACCACTTGGTGGGGGAGGATCCCCTCATGAATGCATTACTCAAAGAGCAGGTAGGCAGTGTTAATTACATAAGTTTACACAACGAGAGGAGAGATAAAGGCGCCAATACATAGTGGCCTCTATACTAACATGGTCCCTAAACCCGAAAAATCCAAAGAGAATAGTCTGAAATGATGTTTCTAAGAGTGCCGAACGCAGAGAGGTGCTCATTGCAGAAAACATGGGCATTGCAAGAGTCCCAGATTTTTTACAAGATGGCAAGGGCAATGGTGGGCCAGTTGTTGATGTTGAGGCCAACCGGGTGTTCCAAATGTGATTAGTCACAGTAGGAGCAGCGAGGCCGAGGAGCAGCCAAGACTTGCATAAGCTAATCTTTTTTCTTTGATAAACACAATACAGACGCAGACACATACAAACACGTACATACACACATCTTTATGACCGCGCGCATGCATCCTTACCCCTATGAACACTGGCGGAGCTTCAGCAAGGCTCAATGGGGTGCGTACATGCAGAGCAGGAACGCAACAGCCTCATTGAAGCATTCGTTCTGTAGTTCCTCGATAAAAGCACTCAGCAGAGGAGCTCAGTGTCCGGCAACTGCCCACCACCATGGTCGAATGTCTTGGCTTATTTTGTGCTCTCCGGCCCGCCCAACTTCCCTTTTGTAGCTCCCCCACTACCTATGAGCACGTCAAAGAGACCGAGTGGGGATCTTGAGATTGTATCTTAAAACCTATCAATAG